TATTTATTATATGGACGACTACATGCTTGCCATCAACCGAGAACACGTGTTATTTATTGAAATACAACACATGTTTTCATACATTGCGGGATTAGCAATTTCGCTTAGTTTTTCATTTTTTGTATCCACATTTATAGTTCGTGATATAAAGTATTCTTTCCATGCTCAGATTAACAAAGAGTTGTTTCTATGCGAAGAAACGAGTGTTTGAATTACCTAATATATAGCCATTACTATGATGTATGATGACACGTATATTTCAGGTATTCGCCCACTAGACAGCAACGAAACAACAGTCAAAAACGCAATTACCAATAAGACAAACTTACTAGTGTAAAGCTGGCCGTCGATAACAGTCGGCGCGTAATTTAAATCGAGGAAAAGTATGTATTTATTAATTTGTCTTTAAGAAACAACAACATACAATCATCCATCGGGGCTATTTATAGCCGATTTTACGTTATGAGTTCTTCTCATTGTTGAAGGCATAACGGTTGCCTATCATTATTGACATCCACTTCATTTTAACATAAGTGGATAGTTGTCACATTGGCAATCATACAACATCTCCTTATTTTTGTATACAAACATCTTTCAGAAAGATCGGTTTTCCATTATGATATATTTACTGTAGAATACTAAGTAATAATTTTATATTTAGAATATGACAGGTACAGAACATGCATAAAGCCTATATCATCCATCATATTTCATCAAAACTGCACAAGACATTTTTTATTCTTGTATGACAATTTTAACAAAATCTATAAGTATTGATTTTTGACATATTTCAGTATTTTGGACTTTTTTTTCTATTTCAAACTGTTCCCTATATTCTGAAGGTAATGAAGCAAGCAGCTGTAGTTTCATTTTGTTTTCGTCTTTGCAAAATTCTTTTTTTTTTCGTTCTGATAGAGATATTGGAATTTTTTATATTTTCAACGGACTCGGACATTTGCCAACCTTAATAAAATCATTTATGATGTTATCAATGTGAATGTGCGACAAGGACGTGAACTTTGATATGTTTTGCGAAAATTGCAGCGTTGAATCTAAACCTATTATATTTCTTTTATTTATTGGATATTCTTTTTTTCTCATTTTGTTACGCCACATAAATTACGCCCTTTTTGTGGTTTGAATTGTTTTACACTAGTAATTTTTTATCCCTTTATAGCTTACTTTGCAGCCTTGAACCTATGGTTGCTTACTTTAATAGATTGTGTCTTGGATGAAAGGTATCGCATTTTGCACTCATACCTCATCTTTTTGTTTCTATATACAAAGCACGTTTTTGAAACCCGTAATGGGCAATATGGCAACCTCTAAGATTCAGAGGATTTAAATGATTGAAGATATTGCACATATGTCAATAGGACAGCAGCCGAACGATAAAATTCCTCTATGGTAAATTTCAGGATAAGATTAGCCGTGAACAGACGGACTTTATCGATGGACAAAACTATACAAAATGTGTTAAGCTATTTTTTAGCATACTGAATATTATAATGGCCATACTTTTAGTTCAGGTCCTGATAAAAAGTTCACACATCCAGTACAGATAGTAGTGTTTCTGTGCCAGTTCTTTTTCGTAGCAGAAATTTTTGTTTTTGGATTTGGCATTATACAATTTTGAAAGAGCTAAAAAAATCATAATGGACAGTGGTCACTTCATCTGAAATGTCATTGCTTCACGCCGTGAAATTACTGCACAAGTACGTACAATGCATAACAATGGAAAAAACTTGTTCAACTACTTTTACAAGGCGAAAAAGAAAGTCGAATCGTGAAGCCAGTAAACAATACTTTTTTTTTCAATCTGAGCATGTAAATTAATATCAAGACTCTGTAATTATCAAACAATATCAATACTGGCTGGCCACACTACCTTTTCAAATTTCTTTAAACTTATTGTGTGTAGTCACACTACATTGCCATTAATGTTTTCAATAGAATAAATAACCAAAATGATGGGTTGCTATGGAAACGGTGTTACCTATTTTTCATACTGGCCTCCTGAGAAAGAACACCAAAATTGCAATTCTGACCAATTTAATTGACATAATATAGTATAATATTTACAATAAAGTGATATGTGCTGTTATTTATCTTAAAGTACTGTATTTTAAGTTTCATATCATATAAAAAACTATTCATTATTCAAAACGACACTTTATTTATCCAAATTTTGGCATTTTACCAAATCAAGAAAAATCCCTTTGGGAGCCTATTTTGAACAGAATTTTTTTACCTTTGCACACTGATTTGAAATTAAACTAATAGTAATATATGTAGAAGATATATAGTTGGATTTAACCCCCCCCACCCTCAAAAAAAAAAATTGTGGGAAATTCCAAGACCTTTATGTACTTAAATCCTAAAAAATGACAAAAAATTGCAAAATATGCATATTTCCATGGAAATGGTAGTTCACTTCAAATTGCTTAACATTATCTCTTGGCAAAATATTTAACTAAACAATCAACAAAAATAATGATACCCCGCCACATTATGTAAAGGTTAATTCATTTTCCAGTTTTCGTCTAGAAACCGTTAAAAAAGGGGGGGGGGGGTGCAAAAACCTGAAAATTGCATAATTCATAAAACTTTTGTTGGATTTAGATGAAAATTGAACTAGACCTTTGTTTTGTAGTACTGAAGCACTGTGTAAAGTTTTAAATAAAAGGTTTATCTGTTTTCCAGTTGTCATCTGGAAACTATCAAAAAAAGGGGGATCTGATGGCAAAAACTTGAAAATAATATAACTCATAAACCTTTTGTTGGATTTAGCTGAACATTGAACTTGACCTGTGGTTTATAGGATTAAAACACTGTGTAAAGTTTGTTAAACATTTGTTGATTGGTTCTCAAGTTATCATCTGGAATCATCAGGGACTGACAGACAAGCCAGACGGACGGACACACACAAATTTGGAGGCTATCACATAATACCTCGCCAATACGTGTGGCGGGGTATTAAAATAGGAGAGTTGTGTACATTTCAGAATCTTATCAGAAAAAAATGTATATTCCCTAACAATTTTTTCAGAATCATATTGCCATCACCTTGCCTGAAACGTCCTATAAAATGCTATATGGGAATGTGCCAAAAAATTTGGTTTACTTTTTTGGGAAAATTATATAAGAAAGGGTATAAATTTTAGAAAGTTTTGCAAATTAATAATAATATATAAAATTGGGTCTTGATTTTTGCATTTTCAAGTAAATATAGATATATTTATGTAAAATTAACCTGAATTAAAGTTTGACTATGTCTAAAAACATATGTCTCCCCCAGTTCTGCAAACTAATCTGAGCAGAAATAATAGCTATGCTGATGCAGTCAAAGGGGCATAACTCTTACAAAAAGAAGGTAATAAAAAATTCCCGGTAGTATGCACAATTTCATATGATGTCCTTGCTACATACCAAGTTTCGTCAACTTCGGTTCAGTAGTTTAAGAGGAGTTGCGCTGACAAACTAATTTATGATGATTTTTGGCAAATTTCTGAGTTCAAAGGGCATAACTCCAACAGAAATTAGCGGATCAAAATTCCCGGTAGTATGCACAACTACATATGATTCCCTTGCTACATACCAAGTTTCCTATTCGGTTCAGTAGTTTAAGAGGAGTTGCGCTGACAAACTAATTTATGACTATTTTTGACAAATATCTAAGTTCAAAGGGGCATAACTTCCACTAAAGTTAGCGGATCAAAATTTCCTGTTAACATGCAAAACTTCATATGGTGTTCTTGCTACATACCAAGTTTCATCATAAAATTCGGTTCAGTAGTTTAAGAGGAGTTGCACTGAGAACCTTTGTGACGGACAGACGAATAAGCTAAAAACAATATGTCTCCCCACCAAAGGTGGTGGTAGGGGGGATGGGGGGGGGGGGGGTGGGGGAGAGACATAATATATAAATTTCGGGTTTTTTTTTATCTTTTAGTGCCACTTCCCTGCCCAAAAATCAAGGTAGTTAGCCTACCAGGGGTATGTCATGATCAAGGTTGTGTATTTGATGCATAGGTGTTATAAAAGATATACTGGAAATTCAGAAATTATTGGGATGTTTTTATTAATGCGAAAATTTGTGAAAAATGTCAGATTCAGGTTTGCAATAACCTAAATTCGCATTCACATTTTCAGTGGCGATTTTCCTTCAATTTCGATCGCATTAATAAGAGATCACTGGTCAGGGATTTGAAATAACAAATACGCTCATTACTTTCTGAATTTACAGTTAATAGAAATATTAAAAAAATAAGTATTTCAAAAATACTTATAAAACACAGATATTTCACTATGAACTTGTTCATCCTATTCTAAAATTATAGAGAACATTCTTTCAAAACGTTCCTTTTCAAAACCGAACATTTACTGTCTGCAGTTGCAGCTATCAAATCTGTTTCATCTATCTTCTTTTCTTTTTGCACAAGTCTTGATAAATAGCTAGCTACTTGTTGTGATGTTTGATATTGAGATCTAGAGAACCTGTTTTCTCCATTTTTTAAGGCATATCGCATCTCCTCAGCTTTTTTGATGGATCCTCTTTTCTTCCAGTTGTTTTCCCAATCATAAATTTTTTATGCAAGTAAGCCTTTTGGTATTGTGTGAAAATTGTTTTTGGTTTGTTCACTTTTAATGCACATCCTTTGTTTAGTTTGTCAGTAGCAGTGTTGTTGTTGTTGGCAGGTTGTATTGTAAATGACAATCCTAAATTCCCATCTTCCAATTTCTGAGCACATAAAACCTTTATTCTATCTGCAAGGCTAAGTTTTTCTTCCTTTATATTACAGTTACCCAACAGGATGTGTTTATCTAATGAGGATGAATGTTTAAAAGAACGTGTACATCCTTCCTCAGGACAAGTAAAGATGTTTGCTATTGTCCGTCTCTTCTTAGGAACTGGCTCTGTAGAAGTTGTATCTTTATCATAATTATCATTTTGTGTATCTTCATCATCATTATCATTATCACCATTAGCATCCTCCTCCTCCTCCTCATCACCATCATCATCTTCTACAAAAAAATTAAAAGAAAATTCAGTTTTTTGTTATACTAAACAAAACAAAGTTTGGAGAAATATGATCATTTTCATATGATGGAAAGTCATCATGCAAAATATGAATGAAATCCATCACAATATAACATAAGAGTTGTCTTTACAAGACCTTGTAAGTGTTGTGCCATAAAATGGTTGTGAAGGTGTGAGCTTTTGCTCCATGTTGAAGGCCTAATTCTGATACGAAGAACAACAATAAAAGCACTGTTCGTTTGCTTTTTTTTTTGTCATGTATGTTTATGGATTTTGTATCATGAATTTATACTTTTATTGTATCTTTTGAAACTAATTTCACAAAGAAAAACAAATTGTTACATAACACTGTTTTTTTCAATCTGATAAAACATATCTACCTCTGTCAACAACTTCTGAACCCACTGTAGCAAACTGGGAATAAGACCAATCATGATAAACAAAAAACTGTATCACAGGAATTTTCTTATCAATAATGCTGTTCCATGATATCAACTTTCCTAAAATGTAAAATATAAGCAAATATATTATTTCTTATAAATCAATTAAAAGGGATCTTGTATGGATGCTAATATCAATATACTGAAGTACATATATATATATATGAACTGTGAATTACAACTGATTATTGTATAAATCGTGAAGATTCATGCATATAGCAAAACTTCTTTAGTTGTGAATTTATAACAGATAAATGCTGAAGGTCAAATGACATAACCCTCAGTTTTTTTTTTATTTCTGGTCACCTGGAGTATCAAAAATAGATATTCTTTCTTCACTTATATTATTTATGCAAACCATTTTAGTTATGATTTTGTAAATTTGGTCAAGGGATATCACATTGTAACAAGATACATTTACCATTACAGATTAACAAAATAACATTATGATGGGAGAGGCAACAAATTGTCGTTCACTTAAACTATAATCTAGAAACAATTATGTGGGTATCAAAAATTGATACAGTTGAATATCATGGTAGAAGGAAACTTTCTTCCATTCCCAGGTTTAATGAAATATTTTTTAGAAATGTTAACAATGATATCCAAAGTGACTAAAATGGCTCTTCAAGCTACAGTTGAGCTGATAAATAAATCATAAAATTATATTACCTTGACCAATATCATAAGCTCTCCAAACTTGCAATCCATTATCGGTAAACTTAAAATTGTATAGCATAGAAATCAATGGAATACCTTTTCATCATCAGCATTAATAACAGGACTTATAACTTTCACCCTGTACTGGCCTCTTTGTAGCAAATCAACTGCCTGAAAAAAATGATAAAAGAAATAAGATGATAATTTGGCATGCACTTGATAGGTAAAATACATTTTTGGCAATGATGAAATTTGTCAGGACCCCACGACGGGTGCCGTTGACGGATCAGGAACTGCTTACCCTTCCGGAGCACCTGGGTTCACTCCTGGTTTTTATAGGAGTTCGTGTTGTCCATGTTTTTTTTAGTTTTCAATGTTTCTTGTGTTATTTTCTGTCGTTGTGTGTTTGTGTTCCCGTGTATGTCTGTCCCTTCGACTTACGTCTTTGTTGATTGCTCCCTAGGTATTTTTGTCATTATTTGTTAAATAATCAAATTGAATGAAACTAACCTGTATTTGTTTTCACTTTTGTGAAAAGAATTGTCTTAGCACATTTTGTATTAAAACACTTCCAAGATGAGATAATGAGATACTAGTACAAGTACATACGTATACTGTAATACATATGAGAAACTCATTAAAAACAAGTGTGGACACAGACCAGCATGGATAGTATCCAGCATTTTGAGAGTATTGCATAGCAATACATAGTCCCCTACCATTCAAAATTCGAACTGTATGTGTAAATTGTCATGTTAAAACTATAGATACCAAATTTCAAATCAATATAACGGTAGTCATGACTAAAAAAAAATGCAGAAAACTGAATAATTATGTGATTTTTCTAGGTCTAAGGATCATATAACTCTGCCAAATATCATCAGATCAGCAAAAATCTTGATCTGTAACGTGTAATGGTGAAACTATAAACCAAATATCAAATCGAAATCTTAAAGTACGGCAAAAAAATAGTGGAAAATGTATTTCTTGCATGAACTTTCTAAGTCCAAGGGCCATAAGTCTGCAAACAAATCATCAGACCGGAACACAATTCGCACTAGATCTGTAACTTGTCATGGCTTAACTATATGCCAAATTTCAAGTTAATATCTTGAAGCATTAAAAAACTAAATGTGGAAAACCAACTATTTGAGTGACCATAACTCTGAAAAAAAAATCATCAGACCGGAACAAAATTCAAACTTGATCTATAACTTGTAATGGTTTAACTATATGGCAAATATAAAGCCAATTCCTTCAAGCATGACAAAACAAGTGCGGAAAACAGATTACTTATGTGATTTTTCTTAGTCAAAGGGCCATAACTCTGCAAAAAAATCATCCGACCGGAACAAAATTAGAACTTAATCTGTTACTTGTCATGGTTATACTATATATCAAATATCAAACCAATATCTTCAAGCATGACAAAAGTGTGGAAAGCTGATTTGCAGACGGACTGACGGACGGATGGACGGATGGACGGACAGACGGACAGACGGACGGACGGACGGACAGACGGACAGACGGACAGACGGACGGACAGAGTACAAACCTAAAGTCCCCTTCAACTTCGTTAGTAGGGGACTAAAAATTAAAAAGTTGAATAATTCAAGTTTTCTAGGATTATACTTTGACTATAATTGCATATCAAATATTCCTAAACTCATTGCCATCAATATAATTAACATACCAGTTTCATTTGATGTGCACTTGTCACATTATTGCCCTCGTTTACATGTCTTTTTATTGCTGACTTGATATGGGATCCCTTCCTGTCACATGACCCTTTCCATCCTGAGCCTCACAAAAATTGTAGGATTTTATTTTCTTGCCTAGCTCTTGATGTAAAGTGGCTATGGCCAAGGTACTTTTGTAGCAACCAGCATTATCTGACCATATGTTGACCTTTTTGACAGATGGAATATTTTGAACCACATAGACAAGAATAGCTCCAGTTGTAGCTGCATCTTGAGGGGTGGGTTGTTCAAATATATACACATGTGTAAGAAATTTCACACTTCCATCTGTTTTTAACATAGTAACGGTGATGTGCCAATGAATGCCTCTCTTTCCAACCAATCTGTCTGGCCCTCTCTGCATTTTCGCGGTAAAAATTTCATGGCCCAGTCAGCTACCATGAAAGATTCATTTAACCCGAGACAGTTCACAACAGCTTGTCTTGCCTTTTCTTGATTTTTTTATCGAAGTATATGACTCTTTCATTCATAAATATCGGCTATTGCTTTTTCCACCTAAAACAAGAAACTTTTTTGAACTTTTTTTTTGTATATTAGAACAAAATACAATAAAACTTATTCTTATGTTCAAGTTCATATTCACCTCATTCTCACAATTATATCTAGAATTTAAGAAAACCAGCGAAATGTGAGATGTAGGTCAAATTTACATTTTTTGGAAGGATGCTGTCAGACTCTCGGTGATGCATCTCCTATACAAAGTCGCATACATGTAACTGTTATTTATTTAGTACTTGAGAAAAGAACTTGGATCGATCTACATTGAAACCAAAAACGATGAGGAATGAAATTTGATAAGATGTTGTCTCTATCCAAAATGCATCTCCATACCAAATCACATCAGTATCTGTCACACAGTACCTTAGAAATGAACATGGACATAAAATTTTACCAGAATTTAAAAATACCTTAAAGAGCACAGCTTAAGAATTATCCAAGAGTCTTTCAATTGCACTCTTCAAAATAAAAGATAATGTTTCATCAACAAAACAACACTGTTGGAATTCATCAGTATGTGAATGGTCATCACATTTTTTGGCAGAAGGGTCCTTTTTTCTTCACTCAAAGCATATGAACAACAGTATGCTATGGATGATGATCTATTTACATGTAGCTGGAAAAAAACATTGTTGATTCAATCTTTGGAGTGGCTTCTGAGAAGATATATATATATATAGAATAATGGTTGTTTTGAAGGTCATATTCCTATATACCCCCAAAAACTTTGTTTTGAGGAGAGGGGATAACGAAAGTACTGTATTAGACCCTTTTTGGCCTTTTTTCAGAAACATGTGAAGCCAGAATCCCAAATTAAAAAAATAGCCAAAGTAATATGCCAATAAAATGTGTAAACATTTCATAAGGCTCTGTAAATTACCCAAATTAGACACAACACCATTAATTCTATGGATGGATAACAGACCTATAACCTTATAACAATGTACAACCACAAAATATTTTGAAGTCGTATGAAAAAGGGAATATAAAAACTAATAAAAACCTTAAAATCTGTTTTCAAGTAATGCTTTGCTACCACCAAATTATCCAGTGTTTTCTTCTTTTAATCCAAGGTTAAATCTAACTGTTCTACAGTTTCTGTCAGATCTGTAATTGCTCGACTTCCCTCGGAAATGTAGTAGTCAAGACCCTCCATAGACTGTCTGACTGAAGCGTTGCAGTCGGTCAAAATCGTGTACATAGTACTTGTTCCTGCAAATGAAATTTAAATTGTTTAAGAAGGAAGGTCTTTTGGTCCTAAAAATAACACCAATCTTTTACAATATTTCACATGAAGTATATGTATGAAATAAACATGAACATGCAATGAAGCCTGCTTTGTACTAGTCGGACACGCTGAACCGGATCTTTAACGTGCTACCACACAAGGTAACAGTCCGCAGAAAGATATGCCACCCCCAAGGCGAGCATGCTACCACCAGACCATCGAGGCGGTTAACTAAAAAAACGTTCGTGCGCATAATATTTAAAGGTAATGAAATGGGATTAACCAGAAAACCTCAAAATTTGTAAACAAAATGGCTGACGTCACCAGCGAACATCCTTACTTCATAAAATTCTAACTGTTTAAGCACAATTGTATTCCAAATGAAATAAATACCTGAAGGCTGAATGTTTTCATCCTCACATAGCTGTGTATACTGCCTGATGATTGTTGCAGGGGCAATACTTCTGATCACATTTGGTGTTTGAATGAGTTCTCCAGTTGAAAGCTGTAATGTGTTTTCTCCAATTGGTAAATCTTTGATTAAGTGGTTTGAAGTTATGAAGTCTAAAAAATGGCCAAGCTGTCCATCATTTATTTTCGAACGAGGAATCATTGATGTTTGTGCAGGAACACCTAAACCAAAAATTTGTGCATGCTTCTTAGCAGAATAAAACTTGTAGTGAGATAATCCTGTTATGCTGGCACTGACTTCTGCAAAAACTGTAACCATTTGTTGATATTGATAATAACTGTCTCCTCAATGTTGAGGTGTTTGCAACCATGTATGATCTGACAATAGCATAAAACAAAGAGCTTGTGGTTTTATTTTTGTCATTTTCTTGCTCTCCAAATAGAGACTTTTTGATGAACTCAGAATCATCAGGACAAATAGTGTTCAGTAGAGCAGTTATATAAGTATTTGCTTTTGATAGATATCGTCTCTTTGTTCTCTCACTTGACTTCTCTAAAGTTTCAGTTAGACACTTTATAGGGCTTATGTCACATGTTTCCAAGAATTCATTAAATTTACCAAGTCTATCAATTCTGATAACGGATGCTTCTGTACCCTGACTATTAGTATTGCAGCAACTTTCAGTTTCAAAATAACTGGTTGTTTCCTGACTTGATGATGTGGAAACATGTACAGCAAACTGAAAATAAATGTTATTTTAAAAATATAACTGAAAATTCATAAATTAATGTGTGTTTATTATCATTATCATTTATTATTGTGAATCCCTGATTACTGACAAAAAATTTTAAATGCTATATATATTTAATGGGATTTGGAAAACCACTGCTGAAATAACAAATGCAAACGATTCTCACTATAAAGCTTGTATATAAACTTGAAGTAAATTAATTTACAAATAAAAAAGCTCGAATGTTTACAAATGAAATTCATTAAAAAAAATCATTCAAAGGGCAATAACTCCTATAAAAATAGGGATTTTCCCAAATTTGAACTTGGCCAAGAGATTCTCACTATAACGCTTGTTTATAAATTTGAAGTCAACCGGTTAAGAAATAAAAATTCTTGAGCGCTTACAAATTCGGACGGACAGACCCGGCATTT